TTTTGAAGATGTATCTTTTCTACACACCATGTTTGTTGATTTAATACTTTCCAAAGAGCTGTATCAGCTTTTCTACTATTTGCTGGAAATTTATTGCGATACTTTGTAATCAGTTTTTCTGTTCCTCTGTATAATGTGCAACATTTGCATCTCTGAATTACAATGAAATGTTAATCAGGGGTCCAGAGAGATCCTGAGCCAGACCTATGGAAAGTCTAGGAAAAAAGGTATCTAGAATTAAGTGATTTTAAATAATGCAGATTTTTACTATAGCTGCTGTTAGTGCTTTGTGGAGAATTAGTGTTTTCTCTTCCACTTATTTCTGGCTGTAACTTAGCATTACATAAAAGGAAACACAATTAGTATTACTGTCTCAACCGTTGCCTTCGCTTGAGCTGGGGTTTGTACAGACCCAGGCAGGATTTGTATCAGTGTTGGTGCTGTTAATTGTGAATTTATATATTAAACTACTTTGATATCCTCAGCATAATGAAAGGCATAGGGGGGAGAAAAAAAACCAAACCACAAAATACCTCATTGTTTAGCATGTATGAGTGTAAAAGTCTGACAGAACTACAGTATAAAATATTCTGGGAGATTCACAGGGTGATAGTGAAATAGGCAGTACCTCAGCCTGCTTCTCTGGAAATATTTGCAGCTCATCCTTGAAGAGGATCATTGGAGCATCCCAGAGTTGCCTGGTGCCTTGTGTGCAGAATAGGATTTCTTTGCCCCAAGTGCATGCTAATTCAAGAAGTTATAATATCTCTTAATTTCAAGGTACCTTTTTCAAAAGATGAATTTTAATATAAGTGCATGTTATTTCAGTCCTGAAAAGGTGAAAGTTGTATGTTCGTGTTTTTACATGACTTCCCCATGAAGCTGTGCTGCAAAGCAGATAATGGAGCTGTAACGTAATTGATGAGTAAAGCTTGCTGGGCAATTCTGTTCTCAGTGTGTGATTCTGATTTGTATGAAGCTATAGAAGGAAACTGTGCTGCCTTTCTAAGAAGGACACAATATGCCCGTCCCTGTTAGTATTAGGTGACTGTCAGTTCTTGTTTGCTTCCATTATATTGAGTTTCTAGCAACTAACTTACTTGTTTAAGGGGAAATGCTTTACATTAAAAGAGTAAAAGACAGCCCAGGTTCTTTCAGAGGATAGATTAGGAGTCGTCTTTTCCTCAAGGAGTATTGTTTGCTTGCAGGGGTGAAAAAGCCTGCTTCTGCTTGTGCAAAGAGTTTTGTGCTGAATAGAAATACAGCAGCCTCCAGCAGTGAAGTGAAATGAAAAATAATAGGAGCTGAGAAATCCTCCATTCTAAAGCCAAGCAAATGACTCTGGTTGATTCAAAAAAAAAAAAACAAACCAAACAAAAGACCAAAAAACAAACAAAAAACCCACCAAAAAAAAAAAAAGAAACAAAATCCCCAAAACAAAACAATGTTAAACTCATAAGGGGGTTGCAAATGGTTTCAAACAAAGATATTGCTTATGTAAATCATACAATTGGAATTCATCAGACACATTTTTCTAAGGGGCAGACTTGGAACATCTGGCATAACTCTCACATACCTCTTGGGCCTTTTTTTTTTTTTTTCTTTTATTAAAAAAAGGATGGGGAAATGTATTATTAATGAACCAAAGTATCACTGATTGAAGCCTGTAAATATTCTAGTAATTTTGATGGGGACTCCAAAAATACACCTGTCACAGCAGAGCAGTTAAAACTAATGGGATTTAATATTATATACTGAATAAATCAGGAGAAGTTAAGTACAGGAAGAGCACTGCAGAAGATCCATGTATACTTTTCCAGTGCTCCTTCGGGATGGTGTGCTGGCGCACTCTACCCAGCTGTAGTGATATGCTGCTAGGCCTGAGAATGATCAAGTATGTTTATCATGCAGGATGCAGTCTTGATCCCACTCACAGAAAGTAAGCGTTCTGCTCAGGCCTAGAAAAATACGATTGTATCCCTATTTGAATCCTTCACAATAGGTATTGGAGTATCAGTAAGGTGACATGATGTATAATGAGAGCACAGTGTGTTACTTGCAAGAGCACTTTCATGTGGGTGTTTGAGAAGTTTCACTCTGGAAAGCTAAGTAATATTTAAGATGTTGTGATGGATAGGTACCTAAAAATATGCAGAACATACTTGAACAACTGGAACATTGATTTTCCCTTTTATTTCTCTCTCTAAATAGCTTAAGGTTATTGATTTTAGTTTTTTTTTACCCAGGAGGATTGTTTATGCCATGTGAGTGCTGCATAGCTTCCATAAAAAAATCTCAGTATAGTCCATAGAAACAAACAATTGGAATTTGAAGTATTATAAACCATGCTGAAAAAAAAAAAAAAAGAAAAAGAAAAATGCAGATTTGAATAAGAGCCAGAGCAGACTTAACTTCTCTGGAAACTCTCGGCTTGTTGCCTGGTGGAGCAACAGTGTGACCTCCCATCTGAGCTGTCGTCTTGGGACAGATGAGCTTGCATGTGCCTCTTCTCTCAGAGCTGTTGGTAATGAATTTGCTGTTCACATGTTCGGGGACATGACCTTACCAGCAAAAGGCTAGGCTCTGACACTTTGGTGGGTTGGTTATGCAATCTGACCCCTCCTTTCACTTCAGAAAAGACAATATATTGAATATTTCTATCTAGACAACTAATAGCTGTCTGCTTCTGATTTTTGTCTCTTTGGAGGAGCATTTAGGCTTAGCATCCTCTAGAAACCCTGGGGCAGGATATCCTTTCTCTTTTGCCTGTCTGAATCTTGTAATCTTTATGTATCTTAAGACAACTTGCTGCTGTCATCACTTCTTACTGCCTCCATTGCTTCCCCTTTTGCTTGTGCTTCACTCTTTTCTGTCTTTAGATTGTTGCTGATCTGCATCAAGCAGTAGGAAGATAATGTGTTCGTAATTTAGGTGCAACCTCTTCTTGCCAGCAGTTTCACTTGAAAAATTTAGTTTTCATGGCTACTAGCCATGGCATTCACCAAAAACTTTCTGAAAGAATCTTGTCAAAGCTTTATGCCTTCATTGTCCTATGGTAT